CCATTGTTTCTCGCCGGCGCCTGGGATCGAACCCGGGACCACAGGATCACAAGTCCAAGTAATTATCAATTTGAGGCACACATTTGGCTTCAGTAAATTCTTCACGACACTATTAACAATAACATCTTCTGCGGGCTCACCATAGCCCGTGCTACTTGGAACTTTCTGTTCCAAGTAGCGAATCTTAACAACAACCTCATCTTTACTGGCGTATATTTAATTACATGAAATGTAATTAAAAGTTTTTTCCGACAAACAACATAGTTAATACGGTCTCTCCCTGGATTTCTACTTTTGTTTCATATCGCCCATGTAAAAAATTCACATATGTAGACAAAAATAAACTTCAATAAGCCATATTTAGCCCACGCGAAGTAACTCTTATTTATATTCAAACTCATAAAAATCTAACTCGTTTGACTAATATATAACCCAGTAATTTGGTCCATAAAGCTTCAGCATTATTCCCACGCCGAATTTACTAAGGTATTTTACGATTTTAAATTTAAATACATAACCAGTGTTTCACTATTTCCTATTGCTACATTTAGTGTTCAATCAATATTTCCAAAAGGTTTGGGTTTGCCTCCAATTGGGTTGTTCAGGATGTTCACTATTGGTGTTCTTGAGAATGTAAATTTGTGCTTCTTTAATCGTTTTCCTCCAACATCTTGGCGTGGACGGTAGAGCGACGGTCTCGCTTCTTGCAGGTCGGCGTTCAATCCCCGACCGTCCAAGTGGAGCCGGTCGGCCGAGCGGACAGCACTTGTGATCTTGTGGTTCCGGGTTCGAGCCGGGCGCCGGCGAGAAACAATGGGCAGAGTTTCTTTCACCCTATGCCCCTGTTTTTACCTAGCAGTAAAATAGGTACCTGGGTGTTAGTCAGCTGTCACGGGCTGCTTCCTGGGGGTGGAGGCCTGGTCGAGGACCGACCAGGCCTCCACCCTCTCAGGTCTCTCTCTCTATCTCACACACACACACACACACACACACACACACACACACACACTTATTTACTTACACACACACAATGTAACATACTTCAGTTGTACTCATTAGACCTATAAACAAGGTTTAGAACCCTCTATAATTTTTAGAACTATAATTTTTACCTTAATCTCATACTACACTGATCTTACCCACAATATACCATTTGTCACCCTTACACCATTAACTCCTACACGCGCACCAGTCTCGTACCATTAAGCCCATTTATGTACATTAGCAAACCTTTCATCACTTCCGCTCATTAGCCTTTCCAAACACCCTCTTTCTCCACCTAATCTATGCTCCTCCTGTGCTCTAATTCTTTACCACACACCATTCTCTCCCTCTTCATTTCCTTAACATTCTCATTTACTTCTACGTCATTCATTCTCCATCTCATTTCTTCCCAAATGTGCTACATGTTTTCTAAACATATTTCGTTCATTTCCTAACCTAACCTTCCTCATTCTAGCAATTGTATTTAGTAAGTTTTCTTTAATTCTCATTCTTCTCCAATATATTTTCTGTCTCTTTTACTTTGAAGCCATAACATTTCCTGCTCATTCTAATCAGTTATTCTTACAACTTCATTCTCTTATCAAGCAGTTTCTCTTATCATTCTTCCTGTTTACCAAAAATATATTTACTGCAAATATTGCAAATTGCAAGAAATATAGCTTCTTTTATAATCTCATCCTTCAAGATCACTATATCAACTCTATTCCTATATTCCCCTTCTAGTTCTATTCCACTCAATTACTCAAATTTTAAGTATCTTCAAGGATCTGAACGAAATATGAACCTATCAATTTTTGTTTTATCTTATCAATAGGCCAATGTGTGACAAGATGAACTTTCAGACATTGTTCCTTACTAATGCTCTCGTAATACACACACACACACTCACACTCACACTCACACTCACACACACACACACACACTGTGTGTGTGTATGAGTACACACACTCACACTATGCCTCCTATTCATCATAACTCAACCACAAACCCCGCCTAATTTAATTATCTCTCATCGTATGCCTGCTCAGAACCCACATTGTACCACAGCTGCAGCACTCTTCCTAATGTTGAGAATAACTCATCATGAGGCGACAGTTGGTGATGAATAACTGAGTAAGAATTACCATCCTAACTACCTCCAGCCTTGCCTTCGTGACGTCACAATGTAGGTCAGGTCATGACCTCAGGATTTTACTGCCGGGAAGTTCATAAATTAAAATTGAACGGCCTGTGTAAAGGGTGCAGGAAATGACGTATTAAGTTAAAATTATCATAAGAAGTTCACCAGACACCTTCGTCTGTTCTCAGGTACACGAGTCTTGTGTAAGGTCCGAGGAAATCATTGGTTAGGTTACATGTTAATGGACCTTTTTCCAGGGCACAGTGTGTGGGTGAGATGATTTTATGTGTGCTGTTGTTGAGTGTGTGTGTGTGCGTGAGTGTGTGTGTGTGTGTGTGCGTGTGTGTGTGTGTGTGTGTGTGTGTGTGTGTGTGTGTGTGTGTGTGTGTGTGTGTGTATATACTCACCTATTTGTGCTTGCGGGGGTTGAGCTCTGGCTCTTTGGTCCCACCTCTCAACCGTCAATCAACTGGTGTACAGATTCCTGAGCCTACTGGGCTCTATCATATCTACATTTGAAACTGCGTATGGAGTCAGCCTCCACCACAGAGATTGTGAGTGTGAGTGAGTGAGTGAGTGAGTGAGTGAGTGAGTGTGTGTGTGTGTGTGTGTGTGTGTGTGTGTGTGTGTGTGTGGTGTGTGTGAGAGTGAGTGAGTGAGAGTGAGAGCGCGCGCGTGTTACAGATCAATATCTCTCACTCTAAACACTCGGTCTCATACTTTTCCCTCACTTCCCTACTCTCTACCATCACAATTCCCTCACGTTCAACCCCGTTACGTCCCTCACTCTCACTCATCCTTCGTAAGGATTCACACTTAAGACGCTGCTTAAGTTAATCCACGTAACAGCGATCTTAGACCAGCAGCGATCCAAGAAGGACAGGATAACCTGAGACTAGCACTGAGAAAGATGCTTTTAACGGGACTCCGAGATGAAGTCAGCATCCTTGATCACTCCCAGATCACGTTGTGATATCAATGTGTTATATCAGCAAGTTTCATCTCTAGAGTAGGACAATATACGATAGGATAGTATGGTGGTCTTATGGATAATAGATACTTGGGGAACGATAAGGCTTTACCTGATACTGAAGCCTGAATCTATAAACCCAGCCTTCGCTGTATAGCTGTATTTAAATACCAATACCATCATTATCATCAACGGGCAAAAAAAAAAAAAAAAAATTCAACGAGCAAAAAAAAAAATTAAACGAGCTAAAATAATTGCAAATGGCTCATCGACTTCTCTAAATCCAGGCAATTCGTCCTTTAGTTTCTTCGACGCTTTGAACGACCTTTTCCTGTCGTTATTAAACAAACAAAAAATTGCTTCTTTATTTAATTTTTTTTATTATATTCATCATCATCATCATCATCATCATAGAATTCTGTAATTTATTATAAGTTTAGTTATGTAACCGAGAGATTATAGGTGATTATAGGATTGTAGCTATATTATAGAGATTATAATATAGCTATAATCTCCTATAGATTATCGGAGATTATAGCTATATTATTATAGAATCCTAGGTGGGTTTAGGATGCTGTGTACCCACCTAGTTGTGCATGTGGGGGTTGAGCTTCGACTCTCTGGTCCCGCCTCTCAACAGTGTGGGAATAGCCAAGGTAGTTCTTCATATGTCACTAAAAAATGCATTAATTTTGATAATATTTATTTGATCAAATTCGCATATCTTTTCTGATCTGTAATTTATCATAAAAAAAAATGTTACCTCTCCTAGTGAAAAAAAATTACTATTTAACTAAATTAATACAATTTATATAAATTAGCTTGTGAGTATATGACCTTCGTGTGCATACAGCTTCACGAAGGGGCTCATACAGCTTCACGAAGGGGCTCATACAGCTTCACGAAGGGGCTCATACAGCTTCACGAAGGGGCTCATACAGCTTCACGAAGGGGCTCATACAGCTTCACGAAGGGGCTCATACAGCTTCACGAAGGGGCTCATACAGCTTCACGAAGGGGCTCATACAGTTTCGAAGTATTTGTACACAGTCATGAACCTGTTCTCTAGGAATTTCAATATGGCGTCTAAATGACGTCTGATTAACTCTTCTCTCTATTCAGCCTGTTATATGTACTAGGATCTAAATGGTTTAGTCCAGCCCCTGTTTGGTGGACTGGGAACGTGTCTAGCCGCGGCTAGGTCAACACTACCCGCTACTAACCGCGGCTAGGTCAGCACTACCCGCTACTAACCACGGCTAGCTGCGGTACCTAAATTCCACCTTCTCCTTGAAAGACATTCCAATCTCTTAGCCTCAAAGCCGCTTCGCCTTACACCAGGTCATCATCATTTGGCATTCACAAGCCGCTCTCTTTTCATGCAAATTTCTGACAGTCTCACCTTGAAGATCTTGCACCTGTTCCAGGCTTTGGTCTATAACTCTCTCCCTTTCCTACTCTTCCATTCCTCTTCCAAATGGAATAGGAATGGAAGAATTCCATTTCTCTTCCTTCTTCTTGAGGTTATCTTGAGATGATTTCGGGGCTTTAGTGTCCCCGTGGCCCCGGTCCTCGACCACCCCTCCACCCCCAGGAAGCAGCCCGTGACAGCTGACTAACTCCCAGGTACCTATTTACTGCTAGGTAACAGGGGCATTCAGGGTGAAAGAAACTTTACCCATTTGTTTCTGCCTCGTGCTGAAATCGAACCCGCGCCACAGAATTACGAGTCCTGCGCGCTATCCACCAGGCTACGAGGCCCCCTACGAGGCTCCTTACTCCATTTACTGTTCATACTCCTGTTTCATGTCTTCAATTTTCTCCGTAATCTTTTCTTCTTGTGTTCTAAGTGTCTGTTATTAATATTTCTTATTGCCTGTTTCTGTCTATCGCGTATTGATGCTGTCTATCGCATTTCGCTGCTGACCAACGCCTATTACATCTATCATTTGCAGTCTCCGTGCATTACATTTGCAGTCTCCGTGGTGTAGTGGTAAGACACTCGCCTGGCGTTCCGCGAGCGCTATGTCATGGGTTCGTATCCTGGCCGGGGAGGATTTACTGGGCGCAATTCCTTAACTGTAGCCTCTGTTTAACGCAACAGTAAAATGTGTACTTGGATGAAAAAACGATTCTTCGCGGCAGGGGATCGTATTCCAGGGACCATAGGATTAAGGACTTGCCCGAAACGCTACGCGTACTAGTGGCTCTACAAGAATGTAACAACTCTTGTATATATCTCAAAAAAAATAATTACTTACATTCTGCGATTTCTTTAACTCATGTGGTGGGGAGAGTAGTAGTCATCATCTTGGCGGATCTTGAAGTAACGAGTGTGTTGTTATGTGGTTCACAGCGCCCCTAGTGAAGGTTCCTGGAGGTCCGGACATGTACGTAAAGAGTGGAAGTACTGTGACTATCAAGTGCATTATCACCGCTGCACTCCACCAGCCTGAGTACATCTTCTGGTACCAGGTAAGTCACTCTTGCTGTTCGAGTGCATCTGTTAGCATTACTGTTCGTGTGCAACCCGTTCTCGCACTTTCGTATAGTCAATATTGACTTATTGAATACGTGCATATGTGACATACTAAACATACTAGTTTACTTTTTAAAGCTTAATAGAAAACACCGACCTTACCTAACCTTCTTAGTATGTTAAGATAAGCATCTTATTGCTTCGTAATTACAATTATTACTTAACCTATTATAGGTTAAGTGCTTAATATACCTATTATAGGTATAGGTTAAGTAATAATTGCAATTACGAAGCAATAAGATGCTTATCTTAACATACTAAGAAGGTTAGGTAAGGTCGCTGATTTCTATGAAGCTTTTCAAGGTAAACTAGTATGTTTAATATGTCACTTATGCATGTATTTAATAAGTCAATATTGACTGTAAGAAAGTGCGAGAATGGGTTGTCGTGTGTCAGGTCAAATGACTCACTTACTGGACGTACATCTTGGTCCAATTAGTGTGTTTGATATCAGGATATTGATATTAGTTATTTTGATATCAGGATATTGATATTAGTGTGTTTGATAACAGGATATTGATATTAGTGTGTTTGATAACAGGATATTGATATTAGTGTGTTTGATATCAGGATATTGATATTAGTGTGTTTGATATCAGGATATTGATATTAGTGTGTTTGATATCAGGATATTGATATTAGTGTGTTTGATAACAGGATATTGATATTAGTGTGTTTGATAACAGGATATTGATATTAGTGTGTTTGATATCAGGATATTGATATTAGTGTGTTTGATAACAGGATATTGATATTAGTGTGTTTGATAACAGGATATTGATATTAGTGTGTTTGATATCAGGATATTCCCATATTGTTACTTCCTTTCACATATAATAATAATAATAATAATAATAATAATAATAATAATAATTTTTATTTAGGTAAAGGTACATACATAGAGATTTTACAAAGTTTGTTGGCTTCATAGATATTAGGCATATTAGATATTAGATTATGATTAATGATGATTAATGCTGGATATGCATGCATGCAATAATTTAATACCACACTAATTATGTTGACCAGACCACACACTGGAAGGTGAAGGGACGACGACGACGTTTCGGTCCGTCCTGGACCATTCTCAAGTCGATTGTGCGTCGAGTCAAATCAATCGACTTGAGATTGTTCTAAGACGGACCGAAACGTCGTCGTCCCTTCACCTTCTAGTGTGTGGTCTGGTCAACATACTTTAGCCACGTTATTGTGACTCCTCGTCTGCATACTAACTATATTAAGCACTGTAACTAAAATCCACACACACACATATACACATACACACACATTACAGGAACCCCCCCTCCACACACACACACACACACACACACACTGGTAACCAGAACCTTTCCTCAACCACCATTGGCATCAAGTAGTTAAGACACACTAAGGAGATCTAAAGGTATTTTAACTTCTTACAGTAAATTCTCCTCCTCTTTTAGCCACGACATCTTAATGTGGAATCTTAATGGAACTGTCCCATATATAGCAATTGACCTACGTAATGGCCTTGAACTTTCATTTTAAATATATTTTATAATATATAAATATATAACTCGTATGAATAAATTATACACATACACAGATGAAGTTTCGTTATACACTGGTTTCTTGCAACAACGAAAGTTAACATCTGTTACTTGCTTATGTACGAAAAATGCAAATGAGCTTTTAATTGGAATTTTGTCCGATTTGTAAATTTTGACACAGTAAAATCCACTCACTCCAATCACCAAATGATTGGACTGTGTACCCAAATGAGCCACAGGGACGTTTGAAAGAACTTTCAGTGTCAGAGTAGTTAACGGGTGGAATGCATTAGGCAGTGATGTGGTGGAGGCTGACTCCATACACAGTTTCAAATGTAGATATGATAGAGCCCAATAGGCTCAGGAACCTGTACACCCGTTGATTGACAGTTGAGAGGCGGGACCAAAGAGCCAGACCTCAACCCCAGCTAGCACAACTAGGTGAATATAACTAAATGAACACACACACACACACACACACACCCACCCAAGACCGTCAGTAGTTTCAAAGCGTTATATGACAAAGAGTGCTGGGAAGACAGGACACCACGAGCGTAGCTCTCATCCTGTAACTACACTTAGGTAATTACACACACACACACACACCCACACACACCCACACCCACACACCCATCCACACACACACACACCAACCCTTCTCATTCTCTCCCCTCTCTCACCAGGGCAAGGAACGGGTAGTGGCGGACGAGGTCACGGGCAGAGGTCGACAGGTGTTCTTGGAGCGTGTCTCAGAAGATACCACTGTAGGCACGCTACTGATACCAACGGCTTCCCCAAGAGACCAGGGGGCCTACACCTGTGCCCCGTCCACGCTCCCAAACGCATCTGTCACACTGCATGTTCTTAATGGTCAGTCATATTTGCTTTGGTGTCCATTTGAAGCTAATGTTCGTGTTATTCGTCTACCTGATATCTATGTTTATTTGTAAGTGGATTCATTTTGAATATAATCAAACATGTAGTGTGTGTGTGTGTGTGTGTGTGTGTGTGTGTGTGTGTGTGTGTGTGTGTGTGTACTCACCTAGATGTACTCACCTAGATGTGTTTGCGGGGGTTGAGCTCTGGCTCTTTGGTCCCGCCTCTCAACCGTCAATCAACAGGTGTACAGATTCCTGAGCCTTTGTGTGTGTGTGTGTGTGTGTGTGTGTGTTATATAGTTATTAAGTAACAATTCCACTTGAACTAGTGACTTCACTACCTCTCATGAACAACCTTAGAACCACTTTCATGGATAAACCTCTGACTTAGAATCCAACTTCAATCATTTAGCTAGAATTTAAACGATACACAAACATTTAATTCACCCATTCAGTGAACATTCTATTCAAGATCCTCTTCAAACCGGAGGTGACAGGGCTCTGTGGCAGACCCACAGGACGTATCCTTTGATAGTAAAATGTACTTAGTCAATCCGTTGCCAGAAATAGGCTTTCAAAGTCACACTGAACCTGATCTCTGGATCACTGACTGGAAAATAATGATGTTCCGAGTAGGCATTTACTCGTAGGGAACAAACAGCCTCGCTTCTTGCATGGTCGCCGCTCGATCCCCGATGGCCCAGGTAATTGAGCACGGCTCCTTCCGTGTCGCGCTCAGTCGAAGCACGGAAGGAACTTGAAGCTCGAAGTTATATATGCAGCTCGAATTGTGTGTGTGTATATATATGTATATATTATATATAGCTATACACACTCAGCTTGATAATGGATATATATATATATATATATATGTATAGCTATACACAGGTTGACAAATGTATGTGTGTGTGTGTGAGATTATTTATATATATATATATATATATTCAGTTATATATATATATATATATATATATATATATATATATATATATATATATATATATATATATATATATATATTATACAGCTTGACATTATGTAGACAGTGGTATATATTTTGATACGGTCGACTTTGAATGCTTCAAGTCTGATGCCACATATATGTAGCTTCTAAACATATTTTTCCCAATAATGGGATCAGCTTCTGAATGAATTTACTATGTATCTACGTCTCTCTTACTCTCCACCACCTTCCCTCCCTCCCTTCCTCTCTCACTCTCTCTCATTGGCAATGAGAACTCAATCTTTACTATCTATCTACGTCTCTCTTACTCTCCACCACCTTCCCTTTCTCTCTCTCTCTCTCTCTCTCTCTCTCATTGGCAATGAGAACTCAATCTTTACTATCTATCTACGTCTCTCTTACTCTCCACCACCTTCCCTTTCTCTCTCTCTCTCTCTCTCACTCTCTCTCATTGGCAATGAGAACTCAATCTTTACTATCTATCTACGTCTCTCTTACTCTCCACCACCTTTCCTCCCTCTCACTCTCTCTCATTGCCAATGAGAACTCAATCTTTACTATCTATCTACGTCTCTCTTACTCTCCAACACCTTCCCTTTCTCTCTCTCTCTCTCTCACTCTCTCTCATTGGCAATGAGAACTCAATCTTTACTATCTATCTACGTCTCTCTTACTCTCCACCACCTTTCTTCCCTCTCACTCTCTCTCATTGCCAATGAGAACTCACATTCCGCTTTCACATGGAGACGTTTTTCCCCTCGACGTCGCCGTCAAACTAGACGTGCATTTAGATGACTTCATTAACGGTGATTCCGAGCTGGAGGTGATGTCACAGCCCAGACGAGCACCGGCCATAGACATCGTTCCTTTATCAGGTGCAGTTCATCTGGTAATTCGTTGGTTCTTCCTGGTTTCTTTAGCAATTACTGAACGTTAATGGGTCTCAATCAAGGCTAGAAAGAGAACGCGGCTATCTTTATCTTGAGGTTATCTTGAGATGATTTCGGGGCTTTTAAGTGTCCCCGCGGCCCGGTCCTCAACCAGGCCTCCACCCCCAGGAAGCAGCCCGTGACAGCTGACTAACACCCAGGTACCTATTTACTGCTAGGTAACAGGGGCATAGGGTGAAAAACTCTGCCCGTTGTTTCTCGCCGGCGCCTGGGATCGAACCCAGGACCACAGGATCACAAGACCAGCGTGCTGTCCGCTCGGCCGACCGGCTTCCTTGATATAAGGCTAAGATATATGTGGTTAATTGCGATCAAGAACAAGGCGTCGTGGTTAATAATAATAGTTGCTTGGATAATGTACAAATCCACAAGGGCCGTGACGAGGATTCGAACCTGCGTCCAGGAGCATCCCAGACACTTAATGGATAATGTATATAAATGTTGGATAATGTATATAATGACGTCTTTGATCAATGACGTAGCTTTAGTTATGTGGCTTTGATCAAAGCCAAGCGAGTAATGGAAAGTTATTCAGCAATTCCTAAAAAAATGAGGTTTCTTAGTCATTAACTTTTGCTTATGTCGAGATTAATAATAATATGTCCTTGAAGGGTTCATCACTTAGGGTTCGAGTCTCTATACGGGCTGGATGTGGTATGGTTCATTTGTGAACGGAATATTTATATTTTATAGCGTAACGCTGGACTTTGAGGTCATCATTCAAAGCCAAAATTTAACAGGTTTGTCGCAGACCGTCCGCCATACCGAGACCTAAATGCGATTCCATCCACCCGCCAACCCACCTGCTGTTTATAAATTTAAAACGGTTTACACACAACCCGTCCTCGACTCGAGTCCATTCCATCCAGCGGTCGACCCCACAGACGCATTCATAAATATGTACATAATGTTCATTCAAAACGGGAATTTACTAAAATATAAATTGATATTATATTAGCATGGTTAGGTGTATAGGTTCTGTTGGCGATTATTTGTATTTGTAGTACGTGGGTGAAGCATTTACAAGCGTAAACAAATCCCCAAGGGCCGTGACGAGGATTCAAACCTGCGTCCGGGAGCATTCCAGGTTGGGATGGTTCCTGGTTCGCAGGTTCCAATGACGCAGGTTCGAATCCTCGTCACGGCCCTTGTGGATTTGTTCATTTGATGCATCACGTTAGTGTGATCTCCGTGTGTGATTTACAAGCGTTTTGAATGAACATCATGTACATATTTATGAATGCGTCTGTGGGGTCGACCGCTGGATGGAATGGACTCGAGTCAAGGACGGGCTGCTGCCTGGAGAGGTAATTGTGTGTGTGTGTGGGCTTACTGAAAGGGAGAGATTTTAATACAGAATTTTCATATATTTTCAAAGTTCATAGTGGGATATCATTTGGGAATTGAATGATACGATCCCCCGCTTTCTCTCTCTTTCTCTTTCTCTCTTTTTCTCTTTCTCTCTCTTTCTCGTTCTCTCTCTCTCTTTCTCTTTCTCGTTCTCTCTTTCTCTTTCTCGTTCTCTCTTTCTCTCTCTCCCCCCCCCCCCTTTCTTTCTTTCTTTCTTTCTTTCTTTCTTTCTGTCTCTGTGTCTCTCTCTCTGTCTGTGTCTCTGTCTCTCTGTGTCTCTGTCTGTCTGTGTCTCTGTCTGTCTCTCTGTGTCTCTGTCTGTCTCTCTGTGTCTCTGTCTGTCTCTCTGTGTCTCTGTCTGTCTCTCTGTGTCTCTGTCTGTCTCTCTGTGTCTCTGTCTGTCTCTCTGTGTCTCTGTCTGTGTGTCTATCTGTCTCTGTCTCTCTCCCTGCCTCCCTCTCTCTCTCCCCCTCTCTCTCTCCCTCCCTCTCCCCCAAGCGCACCCCAACATTCCGCCATAACATGCTGGACACTGAAAGCTAGACCATATGCATTGCAAATGGAGAACCACAACACAGGTATTGCAAATGCAGGGGCGCCTTCCACTCTACGTCGATGGTTAGTGGTGTGTGCACCTCATTCTTCAGTCTATATGTTCTTCTTGTTGTGAAGGGAACTAAGGCTGTGACTGAGCTAAGGGGCGCCTTCCACTCTACGTCGATGGTTAGTGGTGTGTGCACCTCATTCTTCAGTCTATATGTTCTTCTTGTTGTGAAGGGAACTAAGGCTGTGACTGAGCTAAGGGCACAAGATCATTCGTGTTAAATTGCTTTGAAAAACTAGCGTATACAGGCTGTTTTATCTCGGTTTTTGTTAAATTTTATTTATGCTTTGTGTGGAAGTTAATCAAGTTCTGTTGACCAGACAACACACTAGAAGTTGAAGGGACGACGACCTTTCGGTCCGTCCTGGACCATTCTCAAGTCGATTGTGATGAGGAGGTTACCTTGAGGTGCTTCCGGGGCTTAGCGTCCCCGCGGCCCGGTCGTCGACCAGGCCTCCTGGTTGCCGAACTGATCAACCAGGCTGTTGGACGCGGCTGCTCGCAGCCTGACGTACGAGTCACAGCCTGGTTGATCAGGAATCCTTTGGAGGTAGAGACAGGCAATAAATAGGCAAGAGAGAGAGTTGAGGAGGAAAGTAAGGTGTAGGGGATAGTAGTTCCAATCAAGTTCTGTACTCCCATAGTTGTGATTGCGAGAGTTGAGCTTCGGCGCTTCGGGTCCCGTCTTTCAACTTTTCAATCAATTGGTCGATATGTGTCAAGGCTGACTGTTGTCTCGTGTTTCAGTGGTATGTCTTTTTTCCTGATTTTAAGATTATGGGAAGGAGCCGTGCTCAATCACCTGGGCCATCGGGAATCGAGCGGCGATCATGCAAGAAGCATGCAGGCGATGAGTCACAATAACGTGGCTAAAGTATGTTGACCAGACCACACACTAGAAGGTGAACTCGCACACTCCCAATCGACTTGAGAATGGTCCAGGACGGACCGAAACGTCGTCGTCCCTTCACCTTCTAGTGTGTTACAATTGACTTGAGAATGGTCCAGGACGGACCGAAACGTCGTCGTCCCTTCACCTTCTAGTGTGTTACAATCGACTTGAGAATGGTCCAGGACGGACCGAAACGTCGTCGTCCCTTCACCTTCTAGTGTGTTACAATCGACTTGAGAATGGTCCAGGACGGACCGAAACGTCGTCGTCCCTTCACCTTCTAGTGTGTTACAATCGACTTGAGAATGGTCCAGGACGGACCGAAACGTCGTCGTCCCTTCACCTTCTAGTGTGTTACAATCGACTTGAGAATGGTCCAGGACGGACCGAAACGTCGTCGTCCCTTCACCTTCTAGTGTGTTACAATCGACTTGAGAATGGTCCAGGACGGACCGAAACGTCGTCGTCCCTTCACCTTCTAGTGTGTGGTCTGGTCAACATTATAAACAGCCTCCTGGTGCTTCGGAGCTCATTAACTGTTTAATAATTGGAAACAAAGCCGCCAAAGATTGAGAAAAGATGTACAGGTTCGTAAGTGCTTGCGTAACAGGTTCGTGAATCTGGCACCAGGTTCGCAAGTACTTGCGTAGCCGCTTTGTGAATCTGGCCCCAGTTTCTGACCATTTCCCAGTCCCTTCACCCCCTCATACTGACCAATCTCTCACACTGACCGCTTCCCCAACTCCCCAATCAGAAAACACGCAGAAAACCAATCAAAAATTAAACCAGCAAATGCTATGAATGCCGTCAAACACCTGAATTCCCAAACATGTGACTGTGCCATGACTGACCTCAGGCCTTCAGTGATATATTTCCTCGCCAGAGAAGGATACAGTTGGAAACTGCTACCAAATGATTCATTATAATTTTTCTTTCACAGACGGGCTATTATCTCTGGGCTGATGAGGCTCCTTTGCTAAGTTCTGCAATTACCTACCTTTAATTTTGCTCAAATGAGAGTTTCTTGAGATGAATGGTTTTCTCCTTCATACGTCTTTTTCTTGTTCTTTTTACAATATACGAAATTCGCTTTTATATTATTTATATATATATATATATATATATATATATATATATATATATATATATATATATATATATATATATATATATACATACATACATATATATATATTGTGACAGTGTCAGACCACAGAGGATAATTGAAACAGGAATTTCCTTAAGTACTTTCTTATATTAATACATCTTCAGACTCCTTCTGAAGATGTATTAATATACGAAAGTACTTAAGGAAATTCCTGTTTCAATTTTCCTCCGCGGTTTGACACTGTCACATTTTAATCACGTGTTTATATTTCGTGATTTACACACACACACACATTATATATATATATATATATATATATATATATATATATATATATATATATATATATATATATATATATATATATATATATATATATATAGTGTGTGTGTGTGTGAGTGAGCTTCGGCTCTTTGGCCCCACCTCACACTAGTCAAAGATGTTTAAACGTGTGTGCGTGTGTGTGTGTCTGTGTGCGTGTGTGTGTGTGTGTCTGTGTGCGTGTGTGTGTGTTTGTCTGTGTGCGTGTGTGTGTGTCTGTCTGTGTGTATTTCAGTATCGCAGGACTGATCCATCTCTTTCCTCAGCAGGAGAACACCCAGCAGCAATGCACCACGGTGGGAGTCCCCACCCACGGCCATCAACTTCCTGCACCCTGCTGCTATCCTGCTTGATGGCCACTTGGCTGATAGCAGGAGCAGCAGCAGGCACCCTCCACCCTCCCCTGCTGCTCATCTCTCTCCCTAGGTGATCCAAACACCGCCCACCTCGCCCACCACGCCCACGGGCGCCCCCAACCTCCTGAAAGGTGGCTCAACCCAAGGACAAGCCGATATCGAAGCTACAGACGGTCCCACGATAACGATATCACAGATATCGACGGTATTACAATACGTATATATCATGCTGATTCTGGCTCTGGTGGACCCGTTATATCAAAGGCACTGTGGGTGCCTAAGACCTCTCCCTCTCTCACCAAATTAGACAATATATATTTTTATATTATTCTCAAATTATACGAGTCGTTCGTTATCGTACTGAATATAATTAGATGACGTTGTTGTTATAGGGAGTCGTTAGTCTGACGTCACTTCAGACCGAGTACTGGAACTCAATTTAGTGAAGAGGGTGATGTTAAGACTCGAGTGATATTAGCGAGTAAAAAATATAACATGTCGTTAAATTATTTTGCGAATAAACTAGAGGAAGATATATACATTACACAATGTTTATACGTGTTGTGTACTTAAATGTACACAGCTGGAAAGCCAAGTGGTGGACAAAACGTCTCTGCTTCGAATGTGAGGCGGTCGATATTCTCCTTGAAGCAGACTAGGCTTCTTGACACAGATCAAATAAAAGAATGTGTTTCTTGGAAACTCGAGGAAACTTTGATCTTAGGTACTGTTTCTGAGGGCTAAGTTCAGCCACCGTGAAGACAGCTGACACTTGGGACCTCTGAGTACAGCTTGATGTTACCTGGGAGTGACGGAGTGTATAGAGGGAGTGACGGAGTGCATAGAGGGAGTGACGGAGTACATAGAGGGAGTGACGGAGTGTATAGAGGGAGTGACGGAGTGTATAGAGGGAGTGACGGAGTGCATAGAGGGAGTGACGGAGTACATAGAGGGAGTGACGGAGTGCATAGAGTATTGTGTAGTGTTTGTGATCATCTAATACACACCAAGGCGAGGCCTTCCAGGGGTCTAGACCTTGGAGAAGCCTCGACTAGGAGGAGTGGTTGAGGACCGGGCCGTGGGGAAGCCCCGAAATCATCACAAGGAAGCCTCCAGGATCGAGGAAGCCTATAAGGTCGAAGATCTCGCTCCAGCATCATCACCATCAGGACCACAATCATCACTATCAACACACTCATCATCATATCCTCCTCCAGTCTCCAGGACAACCCAAAGAGGTTTCTTTCGTAAATTAAGAACCGTAAATTTCGTAAATTAAATTGTTTAAAAAAATTAAGAAACGTCTCCATTGATGATTCCATAGAATGATGACTTTCAGAGATACATAGAGAGAGAGAACTATTAAATTGCTCATTACAGAGTAACTAGAAAATTTCGAGGGTTTAATGTTTAATCCCTCCCCTCCCCCCCCCCATTCTCTTTCGTCCACTTCACCCTCTCACAGTAATCCATTCCTCTATCCCTTCCATCTAAACCTAAGCATATTACCTAACCAATCTAACCTATCCACCTAGAACCCACCCAAACAAAGCTCGGATTATTTTTTTAATCCATGTTTTCAAACACTGTTCCCTAAGGATTTGTCCCAAATTCTGACCACAGATCCCGGTCGGATCCAGATAGGGCGCTGGTCGGCCGAGCGGACAGCACGCGGGACTTGTGATCCTGTGGTCCTGGGTTCGATTCCAGGCGCCGGCGAGAAACAATGGGCAGAGTTTCTTTCACCCTATGCCCCTGTTACCTAGCAGCAAAATAGGTACCTGGGTGTTAGTCAGCTGTCACGGCCTGCTTCCTGGGGGGTGGAGGCCTGGTCGAGGACCGGGCCGCGGGGACACTAAAGCCCCGAAATCATCTCAAGATAACCTCAAGATAAGATAACCTCACCCTATGCCCCTGTTACCTAGCAGTAAAATAGGTACCTGGGTGTTAGTCAGCTGTCACGGCCTGCTTCCTGGGGGGTGGAGGCCTGGTCGAGGACCGGGCCGCGGGGACACTAAAAAGCCCCGAAATCATCAAGATAACCTCAAGATAACCTCAAGATATGCTCAAGCTACAGCATACCAATATACCATTTGTCCATATGAAGTCATGTTATTTGTATGTATATATCTATTTTGTTGAATTTCAAATATTTAAAATTGCTTGTCTTTCAAAATTTTTCAACTATTTTGTAATTTGTGTAAAATAGTAATATGATTATTTTTTACATTAAATAACCCAGCTGTATACTGTTAAAAATGATGGTATGTATTGAATACACACATACACATGTATGGAAATATTTACATATGTGCTCGTATAGTCTCGTGTTTATTTAGAAATTCAGTACAGAAAATATTGGGAGGAAATAGAAAAAAATATCTTTGTTACCTAGCAGTAAATAGGTACCTGGGAGTTAGTCAGCTGTCACGGGCTGCTTCCTGGGGGTGGAGGCCTTGTCGAAGATCGGACCGCGGGGACACTAAAGCCCCGAAATCATCTCAAGATAACCTCAAGATCAAGATAGGTATAAACCTCCCTAAAAGGTTATCCATTCCTGTTAATCAAATTCTATTTTCCGGAACCAATTCTACCAACAAAATAACGTTAAGATCATCAACCAACGAGCCTTAGCTCACAAGACACTATCGTAAACCACTAACGAGGTCTGAACCTCTTACGTGTTCACTTAAACTAGTCTTGACCTTTTAACTAAAAGTCTGCAAAAACGTAAGATTCAAGCAGGTTGCCTAAGACTTATCCACCCACACGAGGCAACATCTATGCATTATCCACGCAAAGTTACTCGTATGTTGGTCTAACCGCTGTAAACAATCCACCAACCTCAATTTAATAATATAGACAGAGCCACCACAACCATGTGGATCCAAATTAGATACCCAATCCATACACCTGGAAATCAGATACCCAACCCAAATACTTGAAAATCAGACACCCAACCCACAGACCTGAAAATTACACACCCAATCCACACACCTGAAAATAAAGGTAGTGAAAACTTTTCGGTCCGTTCTGAACCATTATCACGTCTAGTAAGGTCACGTCTAGTAAGGTCACGTCTAGTAAGGTCACGTCTAGTAAGGTCACGTCTAGTAAGGTCACGTCTAGTAAGGTCACGTCTAGTAAGGTCACGTCTACTTTTTTACCCACGGTAATTTGGTCCATTATTTAACAGCCCAGTTTACAACCCAACATTTTCTCGAGTTTAAACTTGGCACAAAATTACATCTATCGTCCCCGAGGTCTATTTTGCGTCGATATGTATATTTTGCATCTTTATAATATGGCTTTTATTATATCCTTTATTTACTGAACTGTTTAAGACAGCTTCAACGCTCCACAAAGTCGTCCTTACAGAATAAGAATTTAAGTTTCTGTACGACCTCGTAGCATTTCGGATCTCGTTAATCGTTTTGTAAATACTGACTAAGGAGCCATTGTCGACGTAAGAGGTACAGGTCTCGTAAGTGGACTCGTAAGTGCTCTGTGAATCCCTGGCCCATAGTCGTTACGACCCTTAGTAGCTAATTTAATAACTCCTTCGCTCATCAACTGTTGAATCATTAAACGAACTGCTATGAGTATAGTTACATAGCACTTGGAAGCCTACGACTTGAACCGTTGGGGATCGAACGCCGACCCTGCAAGAAGCTGTCCGCTCTGCCAACCAGGCCATGTGGTTAACTTAAGAATTATTAACGAATACAGCCGTTGAGTGGATTCGATTTGACGTACGTCAAATATGAAGTGTTTTTATCTAGCCAGAAACGTATGAAAGTCAATGGTCCAAAAGTTTAAGATAACGGTAATAATACGATGCTTTTATGATCTGTAAACCACCAAGATATCGACGCTGTGGTCAAATGCTTCAAAAATGCTAAGTATTGACCTATACCAATCAATCCTCTTAGATATATTTTGTTTAAATCAGCTGCAATATCACGATAACAAGCTGATATAACACTGGGATATCCAGATAGCTGCCTTTACTATCTAGGTCGAAACATTTATCTGTGAATGGGACTCTCGTCTGTATGATATCATTGAAGAATTATTTTGCCCGGAAAGGATATCATTCGATGATATACACAGGATTAATGGTTTAAAACTATCCTGTTTAAACCCTTCCTTGGGCTTGGGGGCTCCATCTGCCATATTATTATTATATATATATATATATATATATATATATATATATATATATATATATATATATATATATATATATATATATATATATATATATATATATATGTTAATGTTGACGTCTCGCATATAGGAGGGAGTAAATGTACTAAATGTTTTGTATCATGAAATAAAAGTATGTATCCTTTGGACAAAATTTGTTATTAACCTTTTTGTCATCAATTGTAAACAACTTTGTATTCTTAAACCAGTTAAGGCAGAATGTTGACCAGACCACACACTAGAAGGTGAAGGGACGACGACGTTTCGGTCCGTCCTGGACCATTCTCAAGTCGATTGTGAGAATGACTCCAGGACGGAGCGAAACGTCGTCGTCCCTTCACCTTCTAGTGTGTGGTCTGGTCAACATATTTCAGCCCCGTTATTGTGACTCCTCGCCTACAATAACATTATCAATAGATGCCAAATATTTTTTTACAAAAATATTAAAGGAAAATTCAAGTGCTTTTTAATTTATTTGGACACGAATATGATAAGAGTTTGATTTAACAATCGACTTGAGAATGGTCCAGGATGGACCGAAACGTCGTCGTCCCTTCAATTTCTAGTGTGTGGTCTGGTCAACAGTTTGATTTAATACCACTCAATCTTCAACAGAGACTAGGCCTAGAGGCCTAGAACAATTAAAATTCCTGCTGATTTAGGAAAATGACCTACAGGGGCTAATCATTACAAAAGCCCTCATTACATGAGAATAAAGGTGATTGCAGAAGACCTATTGGCCCATAGGGAACACTTCCTCCATATATATTCACCTAAACTCATTCACATACATGTCTGTCCTTCGCTTGAAACAACCTAGCGACCCCCATGTCTACTATGTTACCAGGCAATTGAAGAAATCAACATTCCTCTTCCCAAACAAAAAATACAAGAGGGAAAAAAGTTAAAACCAAGAATTAGAGAGAGAGAGATGGAAGAGAGAGAGAGAGAGAGAGAGAGATGGAAGAGAGAGAGAGAGAGAGAGAGAGAGAGATGGGAGAGAGAATAAAGGGAAAAAAAGAGTAAAACATATAATAAAGGGGAAAAAAGTTAAAAAAACAAGACAGACAAGGAAAAAAAAGAATTATGCTACAGAAGAAATAAAAAACAACCTCATACCTGAAGAACTTCAGATCCAAACACAATCTTTTTCCTAAATTCTACGTAAAATTGTCCTCAAAGAAAGAGGAAACGCCTTGAGGAAT